TAAACAAAGTAATGAAAGTCAGCCCAGAATAACAACAAGCTCGAGTTACACTTCATCTCAACCCAACTGACCTGAGTTCATGTTCTAATTGCTGGGAAATCTGTGTATTTTGGCAACATGTTGGTGGGTTTTGCAGTTGAAATCAAGAAGTTGTTTTATTTGGATTTGGGACAGAATATGCAAGTTAGAAGTATTAAAAGTGCTTTTTAAAGGCGAGGGTGACCTACAGACAGGATGGCAGTTCAACCAACACAGGGACAACTCTCCAACCTTCACAATCATGAAGGTCCACATCCCAGGACTCCTCATCAAAATTCTAAGAATGCATTTATTAGACGAAACCAACATAAATCAGCTTGGAGAAGCCGGAAACATGTCTTATAACTCAGATTTTTACATCAACAACGCAACACTCAACATTTGGCTTTCACCAACCATCATTACAGCACTCCTGATGTTGGCGGAGCTCAAATGGCTCTCAGAAGGAAAACAACTATATTTTTTGTTCTTTGCAACAAAACAGCTGGTTTACAATGAACTGCATGGTGATGGGATTAAAAAAAGCTTTTCAGGTTGGGTATTAATATTCAACAGCACCACTCAGCCTCAAACAGCTCAGCACACCGCAGTGTGCATGGTTTTCCCTACCAACACCGTGACAGAAACAGAAAGTGGCAGGGCTGGGCGGTAAATCAAAAATGTATCGTTATCAAAATGTCCAACTTTTATCGAGATAATTTCTCTCATGTCAATAAATGTGATAATAAAAAAAAAGATGTGTGTAGGTTGGCAGCGATCATGTCCCTTTAAGAAGCTGTACCACCTTCAGTCACGTAAAAATGTGACTCAACATAATACATGCGACAGCCCCATCTAGTGGACAACTTTTGTTTCTGCACATACCTGTATTATCGTCCATTTATGGTATCGAGGTAAAATCCTTAATATGTCGTGATACTGATTTTCGGCCATATCGCCCAGCCCTAGAAAGTGGGTGTGCCCCTAGTGCCATACGCATGCACGGGTGTGTGTGTGTGTGTGTGGGGGGGGGGGGGGGGGGGGGGGACTGGATTGTGTTTAAACTTAGTAAAAGCTTAAATAAACTTATTTTTTGTCTGAGAAATCATGATGTAAAAAACTGGATTAATTGTAATGTTCTCTATGATCTTTTACTAGAATGTAAGTAAATGTTTTATTATTTCAATGTGGGATGTTTGTTCATTTTTCACATTTATACAAAAGACCCACATAGATTTCCATAGATCAGCGTTTACATTTGATCAGAGTGTAAAAACATGATGAGTTTACTTGGTCCTTATTTAGAAATATGTATGAGTGTTGCTTAGTTCAGCTTTGGTTATTGTATTGTGTAATGATTAGCCTGAATCAGATGCATTTTTATGGTATTACCAAGTGAAAAAGGAGCAAAAATGTTTTTTATTATTTCAATCTTATATTTTTATATATTAAATCAGACTTCATATATTTTTAAGACTTTGTAGATTTGTAGTTTTAAGCCTGTAAGTCCTGAAAAGCCCTAACCCACATTCATGTGCTGTCTGTCTAACAGCTCGGAAAACTTTTTGTGTATTAAAGCAAAGTTGTTGAACAGAAAGAAAATATATGCTGAGCACATTCTCAGTCATTTAGCTGAGCTGACCTGGAATGTGTTTTTGATTTTTGATGAGGAGAGGAGAGGAGGCTGGAAACAGGGTCTAGACAAGCGTGTGTGATCGGTCTAAAATTTTAATCCTGTTCCAGCACACAGACCTGCTCAGTCAGTCGTACGTCTCAGTGTGTGTGCGTGCGTGTGTGGTGTGTGTGTGTGTGTGTGTGTGTGCGTGCGTGCGTGTGTGGTGTGTGTGTGTGTGTGTGTGTGCGTGCGTGCGTGCGTGCGTGTGTGGTGTGTGTGTGTGTGTGTGTGTGTGTGTGTGTGTGTGTGTGTGTGTGTGTGTGTGTGTGTGTGTGTGTGTGTCCTGGGGCTTTGGGGCCAGGAGGTCAGACTCATCTCTCAGCAGCTTCTTTATTAACTCTCTCTTACGCACACACACACACACGCACACACACACACACACACACACACACACACACACACACACACACACACACACACACAAAAAACACACACACACACACACACACACAGAGGGGTTTCCCATTCACACTCACAAAAGTTCTACTATACTTTCCTTTGTTGAAGTTAGAATGAGTCAGACTCACTGAGGTTGACGTCCTCAGCAGAATATCAGTACAGGGTTATTGAAAGTTCCGCTGGCTTCAGTTATCTCAGGAAAAGCTTAAGTATGAATCCATTCACACCTTGAGGAGATGAAGGAAGTGTATTTGCTGTATGTGACTTACAGCTCTACAACACCTTGTAGGCCTTCTGCCTCCTTCTTGTACTCCGAAGGGCAGAGCAGGACTACCCAGCCACCAGACCAAGTACCAGTACTGGCCCAGGGACCATTTGGTACCAGGCAACAATCCTTTATACATACTGTGTGTGTAAAAAATAATCTGCAGAAAGTTTTTATTTTATTTTACTACAAATAAAAGAAAGAAAATGCATTGCAAAACTGTTTTGCGTGTGTAAAATACGTTGTATTAGAGAAGCTAATTGAGTTTGATCACGCGAGTGATTAGCCCCACAAGTTACAACAGTCCTGCAGGCCTTCTTGTTGTAGTGTACGTAATAAAGAGTCAGATAAATCTCATTTTGTCTTACATTTCTCCACATTTAGATGCTCAGAAACTGGACTGAGGAGTAATAAATAAAGCTTTAGACTGATGGGTTCTGGATGAACATGTGAGAAGTCTGTGTGAGAAAGTGGAGCACTTTGGGTAACGCTTTGAGGCATGTTGGAAACTCCCTGATCATCAAAATGGATTTCCAACAACCACCAGATCAACCAAACTTTTGCACACTAAAATACACAATAAAACAACATAAAACCATCGCCACCACCAAAGAATCATGGACCTGGTCCAGTGGAGGGAGGATCAAACTTGTGATACGCTCATTCTTTGTTCATCTGGCAGCTTTGACCATCTGCAGCCCTAAAATAGAAACCTGGCCAATCCCATGGTGAATTACAGTAACCTGACCTTAAAGATAAAAACATGTGAATTACCGATTCCATGATTTGATTTTAGAAAAAGCAGGATCTGACAGTAGCATTTACTTGATTGTCGGAAGTTAGAGCTGCATCTATTGTTCCTCCCAGGATTGGTCATGGCAGATTCCTCAACAGGAAACAATGAAGAAACGTCCTTTCAAACATTGTGTGTGGTCTCGGGCACAGATGTCAGTTTTCTTGTCATTAAAGTTTTAAAAAACTTAAAACTAACCAGGATTTAACATCCCAGACAGCCCAGAGAGATGCTGACTTCAGTCGTGTATTCATAGCTTCCAGTCGCATGACTAACCTGCTACCATGGCAGGCAAACAACCAATGCAGGACCAATGCTTTACTGTTCCAACTGTATCAAACTTTCTCTATCCATGAGAGAAACACAAAGACTAGAGACAGAATTAGGGTTGTCACGGTAGCCGGTATAGCGGTAAACCCCGGTAAAAATGTTGACAATAAAAATAACCGTCCAGTTTTTAAAAAACTAAATTATCTCGGTGGGTTTACCGTGGCCGCGGTTTCAGCGCGGTGACCCTTACCAGCCACCGTCGCTTCAGCTGAAGTTCCCGCGGCGCGCACACGCACTTTTTAGTTTGCAACGGCACCAAAACTTTGAAGCTGAAATAATGGCCGAAGGAGGAGACGGCAGCGCCCAGGACATCCATCAGCCCTCAAAGAAGACTAAATTGGAAGTATGGGCATATTTTGGATTTCTGAAAAACGCTGAGGGACAGTTAATAGAGGACTGCTATCCCGTTTGCAGAACGTGCAGGAAACAAGTGTCTGCAAAAGGCAGCAACACTTCGAATCTAATGGCACATCTGCGTGACCATCACCCACGTCTCTACAGCCAGTGCAAGGTAAGTTAACATTAGCATTTTAGCTTAAATGCATGACGTGAGGACTTTTGGTTGAGGGAGAATGCAACGAGTCACTATATCCTGCAGCCGCAGCGTCCTCTGCCAGCATTTAAACCGTGTCACGGACACCCTGTTGCTGGATGAAGCATCGTATTTGTTGATGATGAAGAGAAATATACAATTAGTTCCTTGTCATTGATTTGTTTACTTATTCGATGCCATTTATACTTGAACATTTGGATTTGATTACATACTGTAGTAGTTATTTTAGTAATTTGTTTAAAGTGGCTATTTATTTTAAATACATATTTTTTAAGGTTGACTTGTACAGCGCTCAAGTCAAGTGTGGACTGGAGTTTTAGATTTTCATTTTGATAATGAAGAAAACAAGTATATGAGAAAACAAGTGGTGTTTCTTTGATTTGTTTACATATTGTTTATGTTTCTAATGTTTGGATTTGTATAATTTAAACCTGCACTGACTACTGTAACATGTTCCAGAAAAAGAAGCTATTTGTTCCTTTACTTGTGAAAAGTTGCACTTTTGCTAAGACTTTGTGTTATTTTAGGTTTAATAAACACTGTTAAACCTTTTCAGAACTATTTCAGTTTGTGTAGAACAGGACTATCAATGCTTTCTGAACATATGCAACACCGTTTAAAAAATACCGCGATAATACCGAAAACCGTGATAATTTTGGTCACAATAACCGTGAGGTTAAATTTTCATACCGTGACAACCCTAGACAGAATCACACATTTCAAAGATCTACATTTAAGGAAACAAATCCACAATCTCTCTCGGTGTGGACTTTCCTTTATCCTGTAAAAACACCTGCCTTGTCTTTGGATTGGCGAGTCAAACTCAGTTTTGTATCAGCTGAAGTCAAGTGACAAACGCCCACATCCTGATACACATTGCTGTGAGCTGACAACAGTCATCAGTAGGAGTAGCTAAAGGTTTCTCTTCTCTCTTAGAGGTAGTTTTGGATGTGTGAACACGTCTTACCGCTGGGGTTGAACTGCATACAGGAGATGGGTTTGTCGTGTGCTGGAAAGTGGGCGATCACTCCTGCTCCATCCGAGTCCTCACTCACCAAGACCTGGGTTCAAACATCGCACACGCGCACACACACAAACACAAACACAACAGGGAGGGAGGACAAATCATTTCGTGATTATGAAAACTATAAACACAAAGTGGGTCCCCGGCTGAGGGACGTCTCTTGACCCTTGACCTGATCGGTTTCCTCACATCAGCCTAACAGCTGAAAATCTCCCTGTTTCTGTTTCCTGTGGAGTTAAAAAGCAGATAAAATAAAGAATTTTCTTGTCATCAGAAAGACCAATCACCCTGATCTGAGCTGCAATAAATCAGACAATCATCCTGGACCAGAATCAGGATGGACGTCTTATCTGGTTTAGCTGTGGAATGGTAAATGGTAAATGGCCAGTATTTGATATAGTGCCTTCTAGAGTCCGGTCACACTGGTGATTCTGCTGGCTGGGATCTGTGAGGGAAGAGAGTTCAGCAGTCTCACAGCCTGGTGGATGAAGCTGTTGGTAAGCCTGGTAGTGCGGGAGCGGAGACTTCTGTATCTCTTCCCAGAGGGCAGGAGGCTGAACAGACAGTGCGCAGGGTGGGTGGCGTCGTTGACGATTGTGATGGCTTTGCGGGTGAGGCGAGTGGTGTAAATGTCTTGCAGGGAGGGGAGTGGTGCACCAACTATCCTCTCAGCTGTTCTCACAATGCGCTGTAGAGCTTTCCTGTTATAGTCAGTGCAGCTACCGCCCCACACAGTGATACAGCTGGAGAGGATGCTTTCAATAGTTCCTCTGTAAAATGTGATCAGGATGGGTGGTGGAGCACTTGCCCGCTTGAGTTTGCGCAGGAAGTAGAGGAGCAGTTGTGCTTTCTTGGCCAGTGAAGCTGTGTTGGTGGTCCAGGAGAGGTCCTCCCTGATGTGCACCCCCAGGAACTTCGTGCTGCTCACTCTCTCCACCGCAGCACCGTCGATGGTCAATGGGGGGTAGTTGTTGTGGCCTCTCTGGAAGTTGACAATGATCTCCTTGGTCTTACTAACATTTAGCTGGAGGTTTTTGTCTCTGCACCAAGTGGTCAGGAGCTCAACCTCTTTCCTGTAGTGGATCTCGTCGTCCTTGGTGATGAGCCCCACCAGCGTTGTGTCGTCCGCAAACTTCACAAGGTGGTTGGAGCTGTAGGTTGGTGCACAGTCATGTGTCAGCAGGGTAAAGAGCAGAGGACTGAGCACACAGCCTTGTGGAGCCCCCGTGCTCAGGGTGATGCTGTTTGAGACCTTGGTGCCCACACGCACCACTTGCGGCCTCTGGCTGAGGAAATCCAGCAGCCAGTTGCAAAGGGAGGTGCTGAGGCCCAGTCTGTCCAGTTTACAGATGAGTTGTTGTGGTATTATGGTGTTGAATGCTGAGCTAAAGTCTATGAACAGCATTCTCCTATATGAGTCTTTCTTGTCCAGATGAGTTAGGGCTGGGTGGAGGGCAGAGCAGATTGCATCCTCTGTGGATCGTTTCACTCTGTATGCGAACTGGTATGGGTCCAGAGTGGGAGGTAGGGTGGATTTGATGTGTGACATGACTAGTCGTTCAAAGCACTTCATAATAATTGGTGTCAGAGCCACGGGGCGGTAGTCATTGAAACAAGCTGGGGATGGTTTCTTTGGTACAGGTATGATGGTGGCAGTCTTGAAACATGATGGGACAGTGGCTTGCCTCAGGGAGGTGTTAAAGATGTCTGTGAAGACATTCTTCAGCTCCTCTGCGCAGTCTTTCAGCACACTACCAGGGATGTTGTCCGGACCTGCTGCTTTCCGGGCGTTGATGGTGATGAGTGTCCTCTTCACGCTGGCAACAGACAGGCACAGAGGCTGGTCGTGTGGAGGTGGTGGTGTTTTCTGTGGGCGTGTGTTGTTCTGTGTCTCAAATCGTGCAAAAAAGCTGTTCAGGTTGTTGAGCAGAGTGGTGTCGTTCTCACATCTACGCGCTGCAGGCTTGTAGTCTGTAATAGCCTGGATGCCTTGCCATAGGCTCCGTGTGTCCTTGCTGTCATTGAAGTGGGAGGTTATATTGTGTGTGTAGTCCTGTTTCGCTTTCCTGATGCCATGGGACAGGTTTGCTCTCGCTGTTCTCAGGCCTATTTCATCCCCAGCTCTGAAGGCCTTGTCTCTGGCCTTTAGCAGCCTGAGGACATCTGCTGTTAGCCATGGCTTCCGGTTTGCTCGAGTTGTGATGCTTTTCACCTGTGTAACGTCATCAATGCATTCGGTGATGTATGAGCTCACCGTATCTGTGTACTCCTCGATGTCTATGATATTGTTGTAGGTAGCTGCTTCCCTGAATATGTCCCAATCAGTTGACCCAAAGCAGTCTTGAAGAGCAGAGGTGGCCCCCTGTGGCCACACTTTTACCTCTTTCATAACCGGTTTGACAACCTTCACTCTCTGTCTGTATGCTGGCATTAGCATAACAGTGAGGTGATCAGAGGTGCCGATATGGGGGAGGGGAATGGCTTTGTATGCTCCCTTTTCCTGTGTGTAGACCAGGTCCAATATGTTATCTCCCCTTGTTGGAAAATGTACATGCTGATGAAACTTTGGAAGAACAGTTTTAAGATCAGCGTGATTAAAGTCTCCTGCTGTCACAACAGCAGCATTCTCTGGTCGGAGCCGAGATCGAACCTGCAACCTTCTGATTCCTGGGCAACCCGCTCTACCTCCCGAGCTACTGCTGTACCTGTCCTCTAGAGAGCTGGGCCTGGTACTCAGGGGACTGAGTCACTGTCTTGCTCCTTCAAGTAAGGGGTTTCAAAGCTTGAGAGAAATGGGAATGTCTCAGATTCCCACACTTATCTCTATCATATTCCTGACTTCATCCATTTCTCCAGAGGTCCCCCCCACACCCACCCACACCTGGTGGAGGGAAGGGGGACACTTCATTTCTGGCTAGCTGTACTGGTTGGTAACATGGCAGCTCCAGCTGTGTGATTACTCCCGGTTTGACCCAGTGGACCAGAATAAAGGACCTAACCTCACATCACGCTGGTTCCTCATAAACCCTGGCATACAAAGATGAAGCGAGATGGTCTTTATGGAATTATGAAGTTCTGATCAGGACGTGTTTTAGGTAAAAACCACCTTTCAATCTGAAATCATCAAATAGAGGCTGGAAACCTAATTTTAGCCAGTCTTCTCACCCTTTTAATGAGACTAACTGATTGTCTATTTGATATAATTGTAAGGTGACAGATACGGCTTGCTCGACTCGCCCTTGCATGACTCAGCGGTCTTCCTTTAGGACTGAGAAACGGCTCAAGACTTTGTTCCTCTGTGACCATTTTGAAAGGAGAAAAACGGACAAACTCTCAGTGGGCTGAGAAGGAAATTTGTTTTAACTTGAAATTCGTTGCAAAATGATTGAGACATTAGATTGTTTTGTGAGTAATTCCATTTAAAAACCTTAGGTAGTGAGTTCTGGTTTTAACATATCTCTTTTAATCATGCACCCAACTAGAGCCTTTTGGCCAGTTTAGGAGCAGTGTGCTACTCGCCTGTTTCAAAGATTTTACCGTCACATAAAACTATTGGCAGCATTGATATTTTCGAGTCATCAACACAGTTAGTTTTTCCTTTCCAGATTACTGTGGTAAAGTTCAATCCTCCAGTCCCCCAAAACACTTAGATGTACTACTCACTAGGTCAGGGACCGAAGCAAAAAATTCTCATCTGACTGAAAATTATTGGGGGGGGGGGGGGGGGGGGGCTCACATTGTTTACACGCAGCCACTATTCAGGTTTTGATTGGTTTTAAGGTCAGGATTCTTATTTTTGAAAAATTTGGAATAACCCGTTCACGTACACAGTGTTTAAAAGTGTGGGTGTTGAGATTTCTCCGAGGTAATAAAGACGATAACTATTAAAGTACTCTAGGGGGGTCGGGGGCATGGCCCCCGGAAAAAAAATTATTGGACATTTTATATTTAAAGGCATCAGTCTGGTGCATTTTGGGGGGGGGGGGGAGTAGAGTTACAGGCTGGTAGCTATGTATGATAAAGTATCTATTCATGTTCATTATAATGATATATTTGAGTTAACAATGTTTTCCTGACCTTTCTTAATCCACTGATGCATCCATGCTGCTCAGCACCAGAACTGCACTAGATACCAAAAGAACCAATCAGCTGGCAGAGCTCCATGTTCAACGTGTGAACTGCAGAACTTGCAAAACTACGTGACTCAATTTAAGGAACAAAGTAGAATCCAGCTGCTGTTATTTATTTGTTGTTATTATTTATAGAAACTAAATATACCTGCAGGGCTTTAGGCCCACGGCGGAGTTTTACACCTCAGACCAGCTTTAGATCATGACCTGTTATTAATAATATCATGTTCTTTACACCAGTCTGAATATTCTGTAATGTTCACAGACATCCAAACCTTAGAAATGAAATATAATCAATATTAAAATAAAAATTATGACTATAATTTTTTCATTAAGATTTGTTGTCTGTTATACTTATTTACATTTGATAGTAATACTTAATCTTCAATCATTTGTGGGTTTAGTGCATTCACTTAATATTAATTATAAAGTTATAAATAACAGGTCACTACAGTCTGGGCATAGAAAGTGTTTCTAGGAACTAACGCTTGTTCAGCAGCTCGCCTGTTCCACTGACAGGAGAAATCTTCTCATCAGCAGGTGATCAGAAGAGTGTCAATCATGACTGAACACCGGCCCGAAAAAAACAAAGAGCCGACTAAAAACACCGACCTCAGATCGGCCCACCGGGAATTTGGGTCCTGGTTCCGCTCATCACGTTGACTCTCATTGTGATATCAGAGCTTTACTGGCTCTGTTAGAATCCCAGCGCCTGGTGCGTGTGCAGTTTGTGTTTGTGCGTACCGTGGGAGCGAGCAGTGAGCACGCGCATTTTTGCAGCTTGGGCGGTGCAGAACGGTGGAGAAACACGTTTCAACACCGGTGCGCGTTTCAACTAGCAACAGGAGAGAGCGAGCGAGAGAGAGAGAGAGAGAGCGAGAGAGAGAGAGAGAGAGAGAGAGAGAGAGAGAGAGAGAGTGAGAGAGAGAGAGAGAGAGAGACTACTAAACCCAAGCGAGCGCGAGAAAAGATTTTGACTGAACTTTTTTCTGACTCTTCCAACTGACGGATTTCCATCGGCACGACGGAGAACTTTAATCCCTGCACTAGTTCTCCCTCATTGTAAAGGTATTCAGATATTTAAACTAGAGTTGGAGGTAGAGGTGCTTTCAGAAAGGGTCAAGGACCTTTATCTTCACTGGTCAGTGCAAGCTTTCAGCTTGCGTCGTGGCCAATGAAGAAGACCTCCTCTATGATGATTTTTCAGATTTCTAAACATTATTCTTACCTGTAATATTAATAATGGCAATATCAATAATAATACTAGTACTTATAAATGTAGAATCTATTGAACCATGGAATAAACGATATTAACAGATGATTTATTGCAGATTTATGAAAAGCATCAACGCATGTCACCGACCTGTCCTTCCCCAACACTGTCTGTGTCAATGATGGTGACCACACCAGGACTGTGGGGGCTGCGACGACCCGTACTGTGAGCTGTTCCTTCCTCATCCGGAGTTGCTGCTGGTAAGGTGCCCGCCAGCTGGGTGACTACTTTGCCCACCATAGTTAAGCCCGTTTTTAAAGTCTGGAAAGGCAAAGACAAAAAAGGAAAACGGCTTGTGACATAATTCCTGAAAGATATTTTCTGTATCAAAAGAGCTCTGGAAACGTTTCTGTATCTTCACAGATTCCTGCTTTTGGGACTGATGCGTCCCTGATGGACTGGAAACCTGTCCAGGTTGTCTCAGCATCCAGTCCGATGACTCCTATAGCCAGACACCAGCTCTCTTTGATCTTACTGAGGATAATCAGAAAATAAGTGAGTAAGAGGGAAAAGGGTATCAATCCCAACCTGCCACAAACAGGGACCTGAATGGATTTAGAACTTATGGGCCATTCCCATCTGTACCAGGTCGGCCCGGGCCGGGTAGCCCCAGTCGGCCCCAGCCTGGCCCGGTTGATTCCACACATCCTTGCCTTAAGCCCATGTGGGCTGATTCTACCCACCAATCAGAGGCTTTCTCTAATGGAAGGTGTGAATGTGCTGTCAGCAGTGGGTGTGTTGGCCCTGGTCGGCCTGAAGCAGACCCCCTAGAGAAGAGGGCTGAGAATGAGCCTTGGTTGGCCCGGAAATATACCAGGCCACCCAGATATGTAAACAACATACGCTACCCGGCCCGGGCCGACCCGGTACAGATGGGAATGGCCCATAAAAGACTGTGTGCATGAGATGTATCCATCTATGCATGCACATTTCCTGTCTATGTCCCAATCAAGATGGATTTGAGCCACATGTGGGAATATCAGACCCCTGCTTTTGACATCTCTTTTCAAATTTGCAAATAGGTGCAAAAATGTGCAGTAAATGGGACTCTCCTCTCTGCAGGATCAAAATCTATGTTCATACTGATGGCAGTGAAAAGAAACATTGCAGAACTTGAGATGGAGACACTTCTAAACAAGACAGATTCACATTAAATGTGTTCAGTGCTCTGTACTCTGCATCGGTGCAAAGCTCTAAAGCTTAGCATGTGCAGTGTCACTGCATTGGAACAGCCCACACCCACAATGCAATGCAGCAGAGGACTAATTATCTGCAGTTTAAATCGGATCGTACTTAAAGAGATTTGTCTCATCAATCTCATTTTGTAATGCTATACAGCATTTTATGAAATTGTATGATAGAAATAGTTATACGTGAAAGCAGAATTGTGCCAGAAAAACAGCGACGCTGAGTCAAAATTCAGGAAAGACTGAGAAATTCCTGTTTAAACTGAACAAAACAGGAAGACTGAACTGAATCACTGACTGCTTTAAATGAAAGATGATGTTTGGAGACGCGTGAATAAATGAGTGTAAATTCCATACCATGCAAACTAGTCTGTTCCCGACCTGTTGTTCATTAGAACAGATGAACTGTGTCACAGGACACCTTGAGACACTGTTGGGTTGTGTATCACGTACACTAAAATACCTTTAATAAATAAAAACCAAAAATACTAAGAAGATGGCCACAGGAGAACAAAGGAAGCAGCAGGAGGTTCTGACAACTGGTGAATGTACCAATCAGAGACAGGTGAGCTGATGAGAAGCAGCTGTTCACTATCAACAACTGGGAGTGAGCCAGACACAAACCCATTCCCTAACCCTACTTTCTCACTACAAACGTTCCTCAGCTCAACAATTATCTTTTACCAGCATGTCCACCAAGTTTCACAATACAACATGAAGCCAATATGCAGAAATTCAAAAATGAAAGAAACAAAAACACCATCTAAGGCCCGATCCCAATACTCGCACTTCTACCCTTCACAGGGTTCCCACTCTTTTTTTGACATGATTTTCCAGGACTTTTCCAGGACATTTTCAGCTGCTGCAGTACGGGTCAAGTTATTACAACTATGGCAGGGTGATTTTATTTTCATATCAGGATGTATTTTGAAACAGGTATGATATTGTACCTATACCGCTATATAAATTTTACAGTTGTGCAAAGATTGTTGTCTTTCACTAGAGGGAGCCTAAGTCTCCTCCCTTTCCGGTCGGCTCATAGGTCCAGAAGAACAAAAAAATGAATGCAAGTCAACGGGGCTGAAAACGCTATTTTCTAATCTGCTTTGCCTTACGCCCTGGATCACACATATGTTGTACTTCAATTTAAATGAAAAGTAATGACGGGTGTTTCAACCACACCAGTCGTGTTCCTTGAGATTTATCAGCTAGTAAAAGTTCGTAATTAGCATGACTACAACTTAGACCTCGGCACTTCTCATATATGACGTCACCACAGAATCTCCTCTCCCCTAGCATAGCTGCTACTTACCACTTGGCCAGATTTATGGTGTTTCTTTCCTCCTGAAGGAAGGATTTGAAGTTTGCTGAACTTACAGCCATTTTCCCTCAGTTTTTTTCTGTGTCTGGTTCGATGACATCACTTTCGTGAAGTGCATTTGTAGTCCTGGACTTATTTTCACACAAAACCTAAAATAACGTTTCCTCCCGTTCAAAAATAAGCACGTTCTTGGTATCAAAATGTGTCTTTAAAACTCATGGAGATAATATGCGAAACCCATGGCACAAAACAAGCGGAGTTAGAAAATAGCGTTTTTAGCCCCATTGACTTGCATTCCTTTTTTCGTTCTTCCGGGGACCCTAGCCTAGTGAACTAGACCAAATTCTTGCTTTGAAAAGTTTGGTCTAGGCATGCTCCACTGGAACCTCTGCAGCCGCAACAGCATTCTGGCTGGCCAATCACAGCTCTCTAGAGGGGTTTCAAACACATAAAGAGCTGTGATTGGTCCATAGTGGTGGGCCAATCATAGTGCTCTATCTGCTTAGTGAACAAATCACTGAACTTTATCCGCTTTGTGGGCCAATTAGGGCACTCTATCTGCCTGGTGGGTGGGATGATGCAACAGAGTGAAACAAGAGTATGTCACATTCTTTGTCCAGTAGCATGCGGAGATCATTTGAAAGACAACGGTACGACTCGCCCCACAACCGAGAGTCGTCAATGGAGCGTTGCCAGACTAAATAATACATTTATTTAGTCTGGCTTGCCAGGCTACCGGGGACCCATGATGCAGAAATAGATGGGCATGATTTAGGCTCCCTATGCCACCTACTTTCCTTTATTTGCAATGCAACAAAACTAAAACAGAAGTGATTCTCTACTTTAGTCCACACACTATTTTACATACTGATATCAGTTTAACTCATTCACTGCCAATGACAACTAAAGTCGTCATTTGCATTTTTTTTTACTGTTTGAGCATCGGAACGAGCCCCCGCGCTGAGAGAACAAACATCTCAGCCCTGAAGCCGATCTTCATCCGCATACGTCACACGTCGCGTGATCAGGAAGAACATTCCTGTGTTAGGAGATCGTTTTGGGCCGTTTCTTTAAAAAAGTGAGGCGCAAACCGGAAAAGCGTCTGCCGATCACAATTCGACAACAGATTATGAAAGAACGGATAACGCTCGAAACACGCGGATTCTTCCTGATGGAAGAGGTGAGTCTCCTCTTTGCTTTGGTTGTTTTGGTCTCGACATCATCCTAGCGCGCAACGTTCTGTGACTCTTAAAAAAAACAGTAAAAATGGTGAGAAACGCTGGCAGCGAAGGCCGTTAGCGATCAGGAAACGGCTGGCAGTGAATGAGTCAAAGGTCCAAACTCTCACAGTCAAGCTGTATCAGTCACTAACTTTAGAAAATATGACCAAACTTTCTAATTGATTGCATTTGCTCATACCAAGACGCATGGTTTACATAATGGAATAAATTGGTGAATTATGTGTTTTGGACTAAATTCTTTTGATTTAACAAATCTTTAACTGATTTTTGTTTGTCAGTTATATTGCTGAAACGGAAATACATTTCCGAACCAGCGTAAAAGTCCCGCCTCCTAGTTTGATTGACAGCAACGGGCAGCTTTCTCCACACAGTTTATGCAAGACTTAAACTCGAAACGAGAGACTGCCAATAATGCAGGACATGAGTTTCAATTTAGGGACGTAAGAAAAGCCATAAGAATGTGGGACTCTACTTCGTTTGCTCCTCTGTCAATTAACAGAGAGAGGGAGAAAAGCCTCTCACTCGATATACTGCCCTACAGCAGCACTCTGAAAGTTGCTAGCTTTGGCCCTTCTTTGGAAAAATAAACCTTTACTTGAGTATGAAAAATTGGTAAATCTAGCAACAAAGACAGATGGACACACTGGGATGCAGAACTGTTGTAAGCAATTTGATTGGTTGGTAGGGTCACGTGGGGCGCTGTGCCGGCTGAACGCAGAAATGAAAGCAGACAAACGCTACAGCTCAATACCCACTGTACACAGCTGAAAACAGAAATTCATGCGTAAAATGTTTAACCATTTGCATTTATTCACAAGGAGGGAAAATAATTTTCCAGGACAAGTCAAACATTTCCAGGACATTTTTCCTTTTTTTTTTTTTTGCATTTTCCATGACTGGAAAATTGGTCTACCATTTTCCAGGTTTTCCAGAACGCGTGGGAACCCTGCTTCAACTGCGCGATCCGCCCAGGGATGCGAGTGCGTAAGGCGTCCTGATTTTCAAGTGCGGAAGTTGGCCACGTCTCATTTGCCCTTTGCCCAAGTCTGCATCAATGCAATATTACCCACAACCCCCTGCTGCATGAAAACTTAGAAAAGAAGAAGGGGCAATGGCCTTTTATAAACCTATGTAATTTCAAATGAGAGAAGTTCATTTTAGGATGATTAATGATATTAATTGATGTTCTGAATGATTTAGACAAAGATTTCTTGTGGACAGCATTGAATGTAAATGTTGTCCGGTTGTTGTTTGCAATTTGTTAATAAAGATATATAATTTTAATTAGCACAGCGACCAGTATCCCAGCATGCTTTGACACAATGCTCTCTTACTGCACATGTCCTTCAAGTGCACTTAAGAGGGTGCAGTGCGAGTATTTGGATTAGGCCTAAACCTCTGCAGACCTCAGTTGGTTCTGGTAAAGGTCAGAGGTCAATCTGCAACAATAAGAAAAAGACAAAGGGGTGAAACCTCTGCAGACAAAAAGAATACAAAGCTCCATCTCACATCTACCAACTATGCCTTGATGATCCCAGAGACTTCTGGGTAAATATTCTAGACCAATAAGCATAAAGCAGAACTTTCTGGAAGGTGTGTGTCCCGTTTCCTCTGGAGTAAAACGAACACTAACACAGTCAGAGATGGTGGTGGTGGTGTGATGGACTGGAGCTGCTCTGCTGCTTCAGGACTTCTAACTGGTGGAACCATGACTTCTGATCCCTAGCAGAACATCCTAAAGGAGAATGTCTGACCTTTGACCCTCATGAAGCTGTTCATGCTTGAAAACCATCCAACAGGGCTTAATTTAAAATATTCTTAGAAGTATTGGACAAACTTCCACTACAGCTATGAGGGCTCTTTACCAGGTATCACAAACGATGAAAGGGCATTACATCAGTTTTAGGTTAAGGGAGTCAGTACTTTTTACACGACCAGATTGGTTGTGATAGTTTATTGCCATAAGAAACGAAACGATCATTTAGAATATTATTTTATTTTGGTTTCAATCTTTGAATTTGTTTAATGATCTGAAACACTCAAGTAAAAAAAAAAAAAAAAAACATAAGAAATCTGAGCGAGGACGAATACTTTTTCACAGCCCTGTGAGTGCTCTGAAGGTCATAAATCCAAAGCTGACAACTACAAGAGGATGTGCGTGTGTGTGTGTGTGTGTGTGTGTGTGTGTGTGTGTGTGTGTGTGCACATGCATATCGACTCGATGCCTGCTGATAACTTGTGCTGATTATTTGCAGCGCTGTAGCCACAGGAGACACCCATGAGTGTAAGAGGCTCCTCTGTGTCAGCTTAAGGCCCAGCCAGGGTGTCTGGCTCAAACACACCTCTGTGGCTCGACTGAGGGAAATGGATAGTGCTGCTTAAGTGGAGTCTATCTCACCTACTACACTGTCTTAGTCTAATGGAGTCCAGTGTGACTGAGTGTCTGTGTGTGTGTGTAAGCACCAAAGGGGCCCTGGAGAGCCTAATCAAGCATTCAGACTAGGCGGCCCTGTCAATACATTGTGGCGCCTCGCGTTTGTTGGGTCTAAGGATCACCTACTGTCTCTCTCTGCCACTCGGCCAGGCACACTAACAGTGTCTGCTGCCTGTGTGCATCTGAGTGTGTGTAAAACGCAAGAAATGCCATCAATTATTAAGGGAGGCGTTTGCGCCCTAATTGATCAACACTAATGTGTTTTCTAATCACTGCAGTTGTGGAGTTCTTCATGGTAGTCCAAACAGGGGCTATTGATTTACTGGTGGGATGGGAGGCTTCCAGAAGCACACACACACACACACACACACACACGCACACACGTACGCATGCACAAGCGCGCATACACATCAACATGCGTACACGTGCACACACACACACACACACATGCACGCAGACAGATGCATACAGACACACACACACACAAACAGTCTGATGTCGCCATCTAAACAAATTACAGTTTAATTTATGTGAAAGGCCTGTCTCAATCATCCAGGCAGAAGGTACAGGGAACAGGTCTGACACAGACTTCCTCTAGGAGAACAATTGCTCCGCTGCTCAGAGTTCTGGGGCTCTATCTTTAATCTTTCTTATAAACAAAAGCCATTACACTTTAATGTGACCCATCCCCCCTCCCACGTCTCTGGACATCAGCACTAAGAGACGGTGTGTCGCGCCACGAGCCAGAATGAGATACCTTGTCATCCATATTGAGATATATGGTGTAAATGAGGAAAGGGTGCGCGTGCAGACTGCCTGTCTTCAGACCCCCCCCCCCCCCCCCACCTGCATGGTCCTTAAACCCTTCTAAGAAAAACCTGATAACTGATGTGCATCATCACACAGCTCACTACTGATGATTTTTTTTTTCATGCTAGCCGTTAAATGAATCAGTCCTTCCCGTAGCACCAATGGCTGGACCAGAACCACAAGAGAAAAACCATGTTGGGAAGAATTGAAATCATTCCAGTTCTACTGGGGCATATGTTCTGTTGTGGCAAGTTTAACAAAATCAACTAAGAAACAGAAAATAAAAGATGGTGCTACACCAACTCCAGCCAGCCAGGGAGTTAGATCATTTCTCAGTAGCTAGAAGGCTAAACTAGCTCATGTTAACCAGGCCAGTAGACAAACTCCAATCAGCCAGGAGGCTAATGAGCTGCAGAGATCCATGCAGCTCAACCAGGTGTATTTAGGCCAGAATGTTACCTGTGTGCCAGCCACTGCCTGGGGCCCATAAGTGAACACCTAGTGCTGGGTTTTCACCCTTAGGTGCCTGGCCAGACCTAAACCGCTAACAAACACAAGAGGACCGACCATCTACGGAAAGGGCAAAGGTCTAGTGCATTGTGGACCAGATAACAGACAAGGGGAAAGGCTTTGTGGGTCCAATCCCAACAGACAAAAACTGGCCTTTGGGACATGAGAATGCCACCATAACCATAAAGAAGCAACTCACTCACACTGTTAAAAGTGGGAGAGGGGAATGGCTGACATCAACCGGGTCAAACTCACCTTCAGGAGGGGTTAAAGAACTAAATCTAACGTTTAAACGTGCTGATTAAGGAAGCCAGCCTCTTCGTGCTGTGAATAAGAAATCTCACTTGATGCTCCAATATATTTTATAACCAGGGATGAACTTAACTTGAACAAGTCAGGTACTCAAATGAGTATCAAGTAACAATACTTGGTACTTACTCTAAGTATAGTGCAGAAACACCGATCCAACCAAAGGTGGAAACGCGTGCGTATCAAGAGTAGCACGTACCAGGAGGCACATGTGTATACATATGCAGCAGTTATGTGCAGCCCTGTTTATAACTAAATTACTGATAATATGACTTCATGCTGTGTGTAAATCTACAGAAACACAGGCAACAAAAAACTCGGACCACTCTGTGAAGGTTAAGACCTAAAAGCTCATCTGATGTATACATAGTATAAAAAAAACCTCAAAGAAAAAAGCATTAAAGGAAATAAACTTTGTAAACGTTTCACTGGAGCTTACTTTGGCTGCATTGATCACCGTGGCAGTGTACGACTGAGCATTGTCGCCACATGCTCCTCCTCGAGACTGATGACATCTGATCGACTGCGGAAACACACAGGTTTAAGGAAAACCACAGACATCGATTAGGCATGTGCAAGGAGACACAAACACACAATCTGGAGAAATGAACTCAGATTCAGACACGGTAAAGGCTCCGGTCTCAGCTACTTCTCAAGGAAATTGGTTTTGCTTAGAAAAGAAAGCCTACACAACCAACTACTGATTTCATTTCAAATCCAATCTCACTCGAAAAGCTCTGTTCTGATGGGGCTCCTGCTGCTCAGAAAGCTAGGTTTTGTCATTTCAGGAAATCCTCAGGCCGTCACACAAACAGCGGTCCCATCTGTCAATTACTTGAGTGGCCCAGCACCAAAACACAGTTATGCATTAAACGTATTGCAGAACACACTGGTTTTTGTAAATACTTAACAATCCCATTAAACAGAAAATGCCAGAGCATCTGTTGATTTTCAAAAATGTTATTATCTGTAGTGGACTCTTCTTGGAATGAGTTGTTTATCCACACAGATTAAAGAAGCAGAAAATAGATAAAAAGCATTTTTTGGAGGGTAAATATGTCACTTCTCTCAGATAAGGCCCTTGTGGGATGGTGTGTGTGTGAGTGTGTGTGTGTGTGTGTGTGTGTGTGTGTGTGTGTGTGTGTGTGTGTGTGTGTGTGGTGTGTGTGTGTGTGTGTGTGTGTAGACCACCTTGTTTTCTGCGTAGGCGAGCCAGCGGCTTCCCAGAGCTATTGGATTGAGGCAGGGGCCGGGACAAGGAAAACAGCCTGAAAGGACCAAAGTCTGATTTATTTACAAGAAGGGAAATGATAAGTGAATTTAAAGCAAACATTAAAAACATTTACACACATTTAGTAAACAACTCCAGATCAAACGTGGATAGAGAGCAGCAGAGTGGAACCCTCTCTGACCATTAATGTGTTCTAAAGCATCCCTCGTTTAGTGTGATAAATGGGAGCTTAATGAGGGTGTGTGTGTGTGTGTGTGTGTGTGTGTGTGTGTGTGTGTGTGTGTGTGTGTGTGTGTGTGTGTGTGTGTGTGTGTGTGTGTGTGTGTACAAAATGATCTAATAGAGAGCCGCTGTATCCAATCAACTGAGGACAACCCCTCTGCTGATTGACCATCCTGGTGGACATGTCTTTGGGGACACACACACACACTGGGGCTCTGCTGTAATACCATTTCCATCCATCCATTTTCATCCGCTTATCCGGAGTCGGGTCGCGGGGACAGTAGCCTAAGGCGAGAGGCCCAGACTTCCCTCTAGGGATGTCCCGATCCGATCACATGATCGGAAATCGGCGCCGATCACGTGGTTTCAGACTGATCGGGACTCGGGCTTTACTTCTCGATCCAAGCCCCGATCCGGAGTTGGATACTGGGTTCAAATTACAGGAGAGCAACTTCTCCTTAAAGGTTGTCAGGCTCCCCTGATGCCCTTAACCTACACACCCAGAAGGAGCACAAAAGAGATCCAGTTTCTACCTTTATTATATTATATTATATTATGTTATATTATAATATATTATATTATATTATATTATATTGTATTATGTTATATTATAATATATTTATTATATTATATTATATTTATTATATTACATTATTTATATGGACTCAGCGTAGCGGGGATTCTTTTGATTAGAGATGCAGAGAGCGGCAGGCAGACCGCTGATTATTCATGAACTCCAGCTGCGTTCTGCACACGACCACAGTAACATTTTCCAAGTTTCTAAGTGGCGTCACCAAAAAATATATAATTAACACACAGTCATTCGTGACCGTTCATTTTCTCTCAGGTAAGTTCTGTCTGTGTTTGAGCATGACGTGTAGATGCGCTCGCACTGCAGCGCTCGTCACTGGCGCAGCCGGGCAGCGCGGCGCACACTCTGCTTTTTTGGCGGTCATTGGATCAATTTGATCTGCTAGTTAAAAAGTTACTTGTGAGGTGAAAAAGAAGGAAGCAGGCAGGAGTTTTTCTGGAGGACTGGGAGATGCAGGAAGATCAGAGACAGACGGGACAGGAAGATCAGAGACAGACAGGACAGGAAGACAGGAAAATAAAAACCAAGAAAACAAAACAAAGTTCTTAAAAAATAAAATGTAGGTAAATTGATCCCACTACACGTTTGTACCTGTATAAAGCAGTCATTTATCAGCATGTAGTATTTATATAGTTGATACCATTCAGATCATCTTCAAAACTCCGTCCCATGCCCAGGGACGTATCTAAGCATTTTGGGGGCCGAGGCAAAATAGACCCCTGCCAGGTATTTTAAGTTGAATCTGAATGTATCTGAAGTTCAATCTGTTTTTATATTAGACTTTTTATATTTGCAATAAAGCCCAAAAGTGAAGAATTTATGTTATTTATTACTTGATTGTTGAAGCTACCTCACAGAAGTGATCTGTTGTTAAAAATTTAAATAAAAAGGTAATTAATTAAAAAATAAGGAACATTCTGGAAATGTTTCTTCCTTTTCTTATTTTTTTTATTTATCGTAAGTATCGGATCGGGACTCGGTATCGGCAGATTCTCAAAATCAAATGACTCGGACTCGAGGGCAAAAAAACCTGATCGGGACATCACTACTTCCCTCTCCCCAGCCACTCGGGCCAGCTCCTCCGGGGGAATCCCAAGGCGTTCCCTAGCCAGGTCAGAGACATAGTCCCTCCATCGTGTCCTGGGTCTTCTTTTAGGTTTCCTCCTGGTTGGACGTGCCCGGAAAACCTCACCAGGGAGGCGTCCAGGAGGCATCCTGACCAGATGCCCGAGCCACCTCAACTGGCTCCTCTCGATGTGGAGGAGCAGCTGGTCTACTCCGAGCCCCTCCCGAATGACCGAGCTTCTCAACCTATCTCTAATTCTCATCCCAGCTGCTTCACACTCGGCTGCGAACTGCTTCAGCGAAAGCTGAAGATCACGTTCTGATGAAGCCAACAGGACCACATCATCTGCAAAAAGCAGAGACCTGATCATCAGGCCACCAAAACGGATGTCCTCCACACCTTGGCCTTGCTGTAATACTCGATAGATAAACCAGGATCCCAAGACAGTAAGTGTTGTTATAAGGTTGTTTTAGCACCTTTAACAGATGAATGCAAAGCAATACTAGAATACTGACACAATAAAAATGTGTCTCGTGTGTGTGCATGTACCCTCAAGGTCATTGCGCTCTGCAGATCAGTTCCTGTTGACTGTGCCTCTCTGCAGGTCTAGGACATGTGGGGTTAGGGCATTTTCTGTTTCAGCACCGTCCCTCTGGAGCAAGTCACCTCTTAACATTTAGCTGTCTCCATCTTTGGCTGCTTTTAAGAGTCGCTTGAAGACTCATTTTTATCATCTGGCTTTCACCTAATCTGTTTGGTGACTGGTTTTAAGTGATTTTAATAGTTTTTATTTTTGTTTGCTATTATTGGTTTTATTGTCTTTTAATCCAAGTTTTATTGGTGTCTTGTTTCTATGTTTTATTTGTGCTGTGTTCAGCACTTTGGGTCCTCCTTGAGGAAGACGGAAAGCGCTATACAAATAAAAGTTGATTGATTGATTGATTTTAGTGTTAATCTAAAACAAGAGTTGATCAACTAATGAGTAAAGTGGCCAAACAACACAGATAAACAAGGGTCTTCATTTACAGAATACATATTCATTAAATCCGACAACTCTATTAACGCATCTCTGCTTTTATTTCCCACAACTAACAGAGCAGCGGCCATCAGAAGGCAGGGGAGAGGAAGAAGTTGGAACCCAGATAAGGTCCCAGTTTCAGTGAGACAACAGGAACAAATGATGGAAGTACGATCAGAACTACAGCTAACTGGAATCTGTAGACCGAACAGCACCTGCTTCTCGTCTGGCTAGACTGGAAAGAAAACCCTAATGAGAATAAGTTAAAACGATGAATACATGAAAATTGGATGTTTTGATTTTAACCATGACTACATATGGTAAATGCCCTGTATTTGAGAGATCTACAACCCCCCAAGGAGCTTTACTTAGATTCTTCATCACTGCCTTCTCTTCGTTCTGCTCTTTCTACTAACTCTGCATTTCCTGGGATCCACTGATCACATTTTTCTTATTTATTTCCTTTTTCCCTTTCCTCACATTTTTAATCACAATTTATACTTTTATTTTTTAATCACATCTTTATTTGTCCTTGTGAAGCGCCTCGTGATTTTCGTGTTGAGAGACGCTATAAAACACTGTTTCTTTTTCTTCTTTACAATATAACCGTCACACCAGTTTTATGTGAGTTTCCTGTTTCTATTCAACATTATTTTAATGTTTTTATGATTGTTCTTAGTTCCTATCTGTCTTTTAAAGATACACAGCAATATATGTGTTCTTATTGTGAGCGTTATGGCTGTGCTCAGCACCTTGGTGTGCTGATAAGGTCGTAGAAGGTTCTTCCTAAATAAATGAACGAAATGAACATGCACCCCTCTGCCACTGTCACCTTATGTCTATTAGTCTGTTGGATCTCTATTCTAAATAATGAGGTTAAGGTATTTTAGAAACCAATCCATTCTAAGTTGCGGGCCGAAGTAAAACGGCATCATGAGACTTTTAGTTTAAAAAAATCAGCTTTAAATGGAAATAAAAGAAGCATTAAAACGTGTTTGTGAAATAATGACAACAGCACAGAGGCTGTATGGTAAAGTGCAGCTTGTCTGATCTTAATTAATTGCGAATATAAAATAACAAAGCAGCCAGTCTCTGAAGAGCCTGATTACCAGTTTGAGCGTCTCAGTCTGGATCATTTGGTGCTGTGTGGCAGTAATATGTGTGTTAACACAGAATAAAGGACGACCTCAGCAGTTCCTCTGCCTGCAAACCCAAGAGGAGCTTCAGGTCAGATCTGGACTCTGGTAAGCAGGATGGTTCTGCAGCTAGAGGAATGACCGAGTCCACCGTGAGCTCCTCTGGACAGTAAAGCTGAAGCTTGGACTGAAACCAGTCATAAAACTGAACCATGTTCACAACACAGCAGCAGATCAACAATAGGATCAAGGCGATGCAATGGTGCAAAAACAGACAAGTCCAAAATCCAGATCCCTTCAGAAATCCCCATGAAACCATCAAGCCTGCATTTAACTTCATGCACAAATTAGAGCTGAGCGTTTACTTTGCTATATAAATGTATCCAAAATAGAAGATAGCGAACGTAAAGAGACATTTACATTAAAAGTGTCATTGATTTTTAATCCTGCTTTCATATCAAACACCAAACCCGAACGGGTTAACCCTTTCAGCTGAGCAGCCGACAGAAGGCAGTGACGGTTTCCAGCAGGTCTGCACAGAGAAGGAGCATAATGCCAATCCAATAATGATCAGACCCGCTGGGCTCAAGAAGACGGCGTCGACATACACACACAAACACACTTAGCTAATGTAAGTGCACAGAGGTGTAGGGGAAATGGCTCACTGACAATAATTTAGTGCTCAGGGAGCAGATGAGGTGGAGGCAGATACTAATCCGGTGCTTGGGGGGTGGGGGTGGGGAATTGAGGTAAGCCACAAGTGCTGCTAGTAATGCCAAAGAAGCCTTTTGTGTCTCTCCAAGGCGGACGCTGAGCCCAGATAACACATGTTTGACTTCCTGAGCGGAGACCAGAGGACTGCACGGACGGAGCAGATGTAATGGTCGAAGGCCAGGTTCCAAGACTGAATTCAGGACTCTTAGTTAAACTTGGGTGACCAGCGCTGTTAACAGCAATGTTTACATTAACACCTTTATCTCAGTGTTCCCCTTCTAAAAGTGATGAGCCTGATCTCCAGCTGTTCTCACTGACTGAGCCAGTCAGTAAAGTCTTCTCCTCTCCTCGAGTCAGCAAGAAAAAAAAAACAGCTGATCAGTCTGCCACTGCGCCTGTGTGTGAGCGCTCAGCACCGCCTGTCTCTGACCTGATAGTTTACGTTCACAATTAATATTAGGATGATTAAAAATAAATAAATAAATAACAGAAATCCTACCAGCTGAAAACCTGAATCATTCCCGACTGAAACTAAAACCGCCTGCTGTCGCACAGCCAGCCCTGACCTAAGAAACACGAATATCTCTGAGACTGATCCATCAGGACACAACATGTAGAAGGAAGAAAGTTTTTAATTGGATTGTTTAAACACTTCTGGTTTAGTTCAAATCAGCAGCTCAGCTGATATCAAAGTAAAAGTATTACCAGTGGAAAGAAGAGCACAGCAGTACCTGAGGCCCAGAGTAACACAGAACAGGGATTCAGATGTTTACGCATGGTTTGACCAAAACATTAATTATAGGATTTAGACTCAACTTTATTAATTTAGTCATTTACTGGCAGCAAATAACTAACATGATCAAAATCTACTACATGAAATTCACTCCTATAAACGCTCCAGGAAATGAAATGCTGAATTTACGTGTGGTGCACGATGTAAAAATGAAGTGAGAATGACATCATGTGGTCAAATCTGGGTACTGCAGCTCGACACACGAGTGACGTTCTCACTACCGTTCCGCGAGTTTCACGGCTGTTATCGGCTATGGCTCAGCACCAGAAGATTTTAGATGACGAGCGAAGACGAGTCACACAGTAAGTGAAGTTGTAGTAGTAGTTATAGAATAGTATGCGTGCATCCACAGTAACGCTTACATTAATTAGATGCATCTGTTTTGTGTGTTCTTTTTTATGAATGTACCAATTCTTTTACTTGATTAGTTGAATGTTTATGTATATATATGTTTTGGGGGGCAGGGTGCGTGCTCTTGCCCCATTTATTTTAAGTTTGCTTGGAAAAAGTAGCTTGAGATTTTTTAGAGCAGACTTTTTGCTTCCAATTCACCGTTAGCATTTCTAGCTCAATGGTAGCCTGTGACCTGCTTCACCCGACGTTGGAATAAAACAAAACGTGGCTGTTGCTTCTTAGGGGCAAGAGAAATAACTTCTGGGTCACTCCTGTTACTGGCTTAGGATCTTTACAAAGCGCTGCTGCGTTTTTCCGGCTGGTGTCAAATTGCAAACGCCAGTGCTGCAGCGTTAGCTGGTGCAGATTCAGCAACCTCGCGGTCTCGCATAGTGTAAACAAAAACTACATTTTGAAGGTTTAGTTTGAAAACAACTGGACTTTTATTGTTTTCCTTAAAGACGTTTCGGCTTTAATCAAAGAAGTTTCTTCAGTTCAGAAGGATGAACGAACGTCTCAAAGAAAACAAGAAAAGTCCAGATGTTGCAAACACCTCCAAGATTATTATGGCCTGGATGACTGAGAATGTACACAAACAAAGAATACGTCCCTCGTTCGTTTTTTGAAAGGAAAAAACTGACAAACCTCCCAGCTGGCTGAGAAGGAAGTCTGTTTCTATGTAACCTTCTTCCAACATGATTGAGACATGAGATTGTTTTGTGATTATTTCACTGTGACATTCTTACATACTGTCCCTTTACTCAAGCTGTTCCACCAAACTGCTTAAATGTTAAAAGTAACATTAACTTTTACCATAATGCATAACAGGGCATATTAGTCTTGCCATTTAAGTAATAGGTTTAGAGGAACCATATAACCAACGGCCCGTATCAGAGGGTCTGGTACCCCATACTGCCAGAGTACCCCGCCACAGAGAAAGGCTGCTCAAGCACGATGACTTTATATGACGGTCACACTCACACTGGGCAGAGTAAATGGCTGTGTTTGACTGCTGACGCTCCGTGTGTGTGTTTTTATTTCACCTCACACCTCCCGGAGTTTGTTCTTTAAAACATGTATTAAATCCACTGAGCTGATGCATTTTAACGAGCTTCCTCCACGCCGTATTTTTCACTGCAGGAATTAAACTTTACATCACAGAGTAAAAGTTCGGAAGGAGTGTTTGTTTACATTTTTGCCGCTACCCGCGTGCGCAGTGCGAGGGAAGGGAGGGGGACGCAGCGCTGCTCTCAGGCTCTCTGCAAAGCAGGACTGACAGACAGCTGTGTGATCAGCTCTGAAAGGAGTTGATCAGAATCTGCAGATCACCCTTTTTGCACGGAGATCGGCCGCAGATTCTTCTTCTGGTCAGCAGCCTGGGAATTGAAACTAGGAATCGAAATAAAAAATTTTTGAACAATTCCAGGAAAAACTGAGAGTCTGTTCCATTCGATGCTCGATGCCCCACTCTAATGTTAAGTGACAGTGCGACGTAGATCTGTCAGGCGTTTCAAATCCTAGTGTTTCACCATCTATTTTCTATCAGAAGCTAACGCAGGAGATAGGTGTAGGAGACCGTTTTCATGTTCAGCCTGCATGAAGAACTCAGAGTGACCGATTATAATCAGAAATATTAATTAAAAATGTTTTTTCTGTGAAGTACCACTGTAAAAGACATAAGGCAGAATCCAGCCTCAAGCACATGAATTGAAATCAAGAAGATGAAAGTGACCCAAACTCTACCCCAAAACATCACAGGACCCTTTGTTTACTGCTCTTATGGACCAGACGGACCAAATAATGTTCTGAAAAAGAGGCCCTGCATTCAGAGACGATTAATAACTATTGAGCATGTTTGGTTTCCTGTTGCCCAGACACTGATAGGGAAGGCAGGCAGACAACGAGGAGACACATTAAAGCCAGGCAGTAAGGTCAGTTTACTCCAGTCAATGGCTTAAGTGGACAGCAATGGCCTTGTAATCCAGTCTGGTCTGTCTTTCACAGCCTCTCGGAGGAGGCACTGAAGGTCCAGCAAGGGGGATGCAGGAGTGGTGCTGTAAACAGTTTCACTGTGAGGTCTCACATCATGTTTTGATAGAAACATCTAAAACTCAAGACGAGACTCAAACACGCCGATACAGCAAGCAGCCGGCCGTCTCGTAGGGACGTGGGTGTTTGAGGACAGGAGGACAAACGTATAAATAACAACCAGAAGAGTGAGAAGGGGATGCAGTAGTTCTATTAAAGTCACAGAGGGAAACGTAAAGTAAAGATCAGAAATACTTCTTTACAAATGTTTATTTCAGGTAATCTGATGTGGATTTTTGATTTCAGCAAAAATCACAAATCCAAAATGGACCGTTTAATATTCACCGTCATTCTGAGACATGGTCACTGGTTTCTAACCCATCTCTCTGTCGCCATGTCGCCATCAGACAGATTCTTCTTCTGTATTTTTACGCAACAATCCTACATCAGAGAGCTTTGCGGTCTGGCCTACAGTCGGTAAGCTCATCAGCTAACCCTAACCCTGGGTACGCTCGTTTTAATAACCTACTCAGTTGGTGCACCCAACAAAATACATGGATTTGGGGTGTGGGGAGTGCTATTGCCAGAGGGAGTCAATAAAACGAGCACACTTTAAGGCTGTAGTAACGAAATGACTTCATGCAACCCTCCTGCAAAACTACTAATACCCAGGTTCCCAAAGATGATGAAAAATGACAGTTCATCTGAAATAATGTGATTATACTGTTCATCATATTAGTATTTTATTGAATAGGCCTGTGTGTGTGTTGGGGGAGATGGCTCACATCTTTAACTACTCACTGGTTTTCTTTAACCAACAGTCCAGATCATCACAAACTAAACATTCTGAATGAAACAACACAATGGAGCTTGCTCAGAAACCAAATAGATTCTTCTGATGACCCCGTTTCTTCAGTAACTGTTCCTGATGTTTAACTGAACTCTTCATGATGAGTCTTACTTGTAACAAAGAACTTCTTTGTGAAGGTGCAGCTGTCAAACGCAGCTATCTTCTCCTGCAGGCACACCACAAGTATACTGTTGAGAAAAGAGGAGAAGACCATGAGAACATGAGGTGAACCCTGTAAGGATGGAGTTCATGTTACTGTGACCTACTGTTTGTTGCAGTGGAGATCATAGACAGATGTCTTGAACTGAATCGATTTAACCATTTCTCCGGTCCTCAGAGAGTACAGGTCAGCACAACAATAAGGAGGACTAGTCCTGGAACACACACATCCAGAAGAATAAAATATGACTCATGTTGAGGTGAAATGTGACACATAGCTCGGAGTTCATTCATTTAACACGGTGTTTAAACATGAAAGTAAACACTGATGTTTGGACACAGAGATGGACTTCTCTAGAGTACCATCACAAGGTTTATCCTGGTGGTCCATACCAAAGGGGTATCTCTGCGGAAAACCAAACATCGATCCTGAAAAACACATTTTTATGGAGTAAGATAGGGCTGGTCAATATCATAATATATTGAGGAGTTCACCTCGATAATGATCAATGGACGATAACTACATGTTGAGTCACGTCGTGTGACTCGAGGTGGTACAGCTTCTTAAAGGAACACGAACGTCGCCAACCTACACACACCTTTTCATTATTTTTTATTTTTCATTATTGAATTTATTGACTTGGGACAAATGATACCAGTTAGAGTCAGAAATTTCGACAGCGATGCATTTCCATATATAGCTCAGCCCTAGAGTAAGTTCTAAAAAACCACGAAGAAGAACCCAAGCTGTTCGATCAGGAAGCATCTCAGGCTTCGATAGAAAACAAAATAAGAAAGAAACAATCTGAACAATGTCTGTATTTGATGACGACTCAACAGTTACGTTTCTCCTTTACGTAGGTTCTTGAAGCATGCATGGTTTATTGTACTAGAGCATCACAGACAACAGCCCTGGTCTTTGGGACTAAGTATCTGCAGGACTGAATGTTGAAGTGTTTCAGAATTTAACCCTCTGGAGGTAGGCGCTACATCCTACCTACCTGGTTACTCCACAAACGTGTATAATGAGCATTTTTAACTCAGAAGTACCCCTGAAGGACTTGGTTGTTCGTCCTTTTATCAAAACTTATTTTGAGCCTGAGAGGGTTAAAAACATATCAGAACAATCTTCTGAGCAATCTAGTTTCTGGATAACTCTCCTCCTTCTGTCCTGGTGGTTTTATCATTAACCTGAACTTATCGAGACATAAAAATATCTCCGTTCAACAAAACGATGCTTTATTTATTATCTCTGAGCTGGATGTGGACCTGGGACTTTCACCACTGGATGATGTCAGTGAAGCCTCTCTGTAAGCCACCCGTCATGTTACTGAACTCTGAGCATGTTCAAAGGGGATTCTCACTCAACAAAAGAAAACAAAAACAGTTAAAAGTGCCTAATATTGTATTAGTTTCCACCAAGTCCCACTGGCCTAATCCTTCTGAGAGTCTACAAAGTCAAACAGCCAAACTGAGACATGAGGGGCACATCGAGAGGAAATGCTTTGTCGTGAAACACATTTAGAAAAAATCCTTCACTCATCACTGCAAAGAACTGAGCTTCGTGAGCAGCTTCCCCAACAGCAGGCAGCGGCTGCTTGGGAGGAAAAATCTGAACATAAATCTTAATCAAGGAGAAACCCCACCACCACCACTCCACCCCATGCCCTTTCCTTTACTCTGTGAGGAAAACATCTTTGGGTATTCTATTCTCTGTCACACCAGGCAGGGATTTGATGATGTGTTGGCTAAGGACACATGGCTGAACTGCAGAGAAGATTTTGATTTTACGTCCAAGGTCTGAGCACTTTCAACAGCTCATTTAGTGAGATTGTTCATACAGCGGGGAGACACACACTTCAGAGGTCTCAGCAGGAACTTCTGGATTTATGGAAGGAAACAGTCAGATCAGATAATTATAGTAAAGGTCAAAGCTGAATAAATGTGCCCACAACCACAGTGACTCAACATTTTAAGTGAAATTTCTCGTTAAAAACTAAACTGTGTGCACTATACTAAAAGGTACATGAAAACAGCGACTGAGAGTTGAGGATGTAAAATGGTATCCTCGTCAGAGTTAGACAAGAGGAAAGAAGCATTTAGTTACCAGCCTAGTCAGACTCCTAATCTGGCAGTATTATGTTTGCTTTAGCTTAGCATAAACAATAGGGATGTGAATCTCTGAGCAACTCACAATTTGATACGATTCCGATGCTCGGGATGTCGATTCAATTCAGAATCGATTCTCGATTTAAATCGATTCACAATCAATATTAACAAAGAGTGTCAGTTCCAGGATTAACTACTTTGTTGTACAAGTTAGTTAAAGCTATGGGACATTTTTATTTTACTGTAAACTGGTCATGCTAAAAAAAGCTAATTTACAAGGTAAAATAAAGTGATTCTAAAACTGTAAACAGAAACAATCTTTTGACCAAAAGAAGAAGAAGAAGAAAATATAATTTCTATAGCGCCTCTCAAGATAAAAATCACGAGGCGCTTAGGAGACATTTATTTTTGCTTACCTTGTAAAATATAACAAATCTTTAGTTACCCAACAGTAGCTTTGAAAGTAATACGGTCAAATACTTTTTAAGTATCTGTGGAAACAAGTTTAACATTTGAGTCCTCAGCCTGTTTAAAAAAGTGCCTCAGATTTCTTACAAAGGAAAATGTTTTCTCTCATTTATCAATAACTTAAAATAAATACATGAGTAATCCTGAGTACTCATTTATCAACTTAGAAAATAAATATGAGAATTTCTCAAATTTCTGAGTATGGAAAAAAAATTACATTCTAGTCCCCACTTATCAGCAGATTAAAAAATAAATCATCCCAATTTATTTGCACCACAAAAGTAAACGGAGTACTAACTCACCTAACAAAGACCAAAAACACGTACAAACATGCATCTCAAACCTTTAACATGCCAAACATTTGGTTCCTGGAATCGATTCTGAATCTTTATAAATAAGAATCCCGATTCAGACTTAAATCGATTTTTTTCAGCACCTCTAATAAACAATGTTATTTTCAACACTCAGTCTAATCCAACAACGTGAAAGTTAAGTCCTCAGAAGAGTTGGTGTTAATCTGGAGAGTTAAATCTAAGCAACTCAGTTTTAAATGAACACTTAACAGTTGGGTCCATAGCAGCTTCAGACCCATCTCTAAACTTCCGTTCATCTCCAAGATCTTGGAAAAGGTTGTGGCTAAACAACTCACAGCTGCTCTTGATGAACATAACATCTATGATAGCTTCCAGTCAGGTTTTCGTAGAGCTCATTCTACTGAAACAGCTCTTCTTAGGGTCTCTAATGACCTTCTGACTCACAGTGATGCAGGGGACTGTTCTGTTCTGGTCCTGCTGGACCTGACTGCAGCCTTTGACACTGTTGACCATCACCTGCTACTGGAGAGGCTGAGAGACTGGGTAGGCCTATCAGGAACTGCTCTGGAGTGGTTCTCCTCTTATCTCTCTGAGCGCTCCTTTTCTGTGGCTGTCTCCAGGTTTAGGTCCTCCACCACCTCTCTTACCCATGGTGTCCCACAAGGTTCTGTGCTGGGGCCTCTGCTCTTCCTCCTCTATCTGCTTCCTCTTCAGCACATCCTGAGCTCCTTCAAATGAATCTCCTACCATCTTTATGCAGATGACATCCAACTGTACATCTCCTTTAAGCCCCATGAGATGTCTAAGCTGCAGCTGTTACACACCTGCTTAGACTCTATCAAAACCTGGATGGCTGGGAGCTTTCTACAGCTGAATGAAGATGAGACTGAGGTCCTCATCTGTGCCCCAGACAAGCTGGTTCCCAAAGTCAGAGACTCTCTTGGTCAGCTTGCTTCTCACACCAAACCTTCTGTCAGGAATATTGGTGTGACCTTTGACCCGGCTCTCACCCTGGATTCTCATGTCAGTTCTCTTGTTCGCTCTTCCTTCTTCCATCTCAGGAACATTGCTAAGCTGAGTCCCATTCTGTCCCACTCTGAACTTGAGACAGTTATCCACACCTTCATCTCCTCACGCTTAGACTACTGTAACTCTCTTTTCACGTGTCTGAGCAGAACCTCCCTGAACCGTCTACAGGTGGTTCAGAATACCTGTGCTCGGCTTCTGACCAAGTCCTCCAAACACACCCACATCACCCTGCTTCTCCTCCAGCTTCACTGGCTGCCAGTCAACTTCAGGGTTCATTTCAAGATCCTGGTTCTGGTCTATAGGGCCTTACATGGACAAGCACCATCTTACATTGGTGATCTCCTCAGTCCCTACACCCCCAGCAGGTCCCTGAGGTCCAGTGATCAAAGCCTACTGGTTGTGCAGCACCAGGCTAAAGACCAAAGGTGACAGATCATTTGCTGCTGTGGCCCCCAGACTCTGGAACTCTCTCCCCCTGAGCCTGAGATCAGTGGACTCAGTGGTCTCCTTCAAAAAGCAGCTGAAGACTCACTTGTTCAAGCTGGCTTTTGTATGACCTTCTTCACCACTCTCTCCTTGTTCTGCTCTTCCCACCTATTCCACCTTCCTCAGGATCCACTGATTTCCCTCTTTCCTATTCACTCTCTCTCTCTCTTTCTTAACATTTTTTCTTTTAAATCCCAATTGCCTATTTTTGCTCATTTTAAATATATTTTTAAACATTTTCTAAATGCTTTTTTTATATTTTAACTTTTTTGTTTTTGTTTTTGTGAAGCGCCTCATGATTTTTATCTTGAGAGGCGCTATAGAAAAGATATTTTCTTCTTCTTCTTCTTCCCAGAATTCCAATGTATCTGTGACGTGTTTGCCTAAAAATCGGGGACAGCTTGAGTTTATCTGACATCGTGACAAGGTATGTCCAATTTGAAGGTGTACACTTTTGAGCTGCATAAGTATTCAAATGTGTGTTTTGCTTGCTATAGATCAGGCGTGGGGGAACCCTGATCCTCGAGGGCCGGTATCCTGCATGTCTTTGCTCCAACACTTCTGATTCAGTGGTTGATTCACCAGTTCAGCAGCTCATCAAGCTCTGCGGAAGCCTGCTAATCACCTGCTGATTGAAATCAGGTGTGCTGAAGCAGGGTTGAAACTAAAATATGCTGGATGGTGGCCCCTGATGGACCAGGGTTCCCCACCCCTGCTACAGATGGTCCAAGATTTCACCGTGGTTTTTGAAGAGGAAGTATTGGGCAGATTTTCTGCAAAATGGCCTACATTTTTCAAACCATGGATCC